CAGCATGGTTTCACCTCACACCTGTTAGGATGTCTGTTATCAAAAAAACCAAAAGTCAACGAGTGCTGGTGTTGGTGGAAATGTAAGTTAGTACAGCCATTATGGAAAACAGTATGGAGATTCCTCAAAAAATTAAAATGAGAACTAATCACAGGATCCAACAATCCTTCCTTTGAAAATACATCCAAAGGAAATAACATCAGTATCTGAAAGAGATGTATACACTCCCATGTTTATTGCAGCATTATTCACAATAGCTGAGTAATGGAAACAACTTAAGTGTTCATGAATGGAGGAATGGATAAGGAAAATCTATATACAATGGCACATTATTTAGCCTTAGAAAGAAGTCCTAACATTTTGACAACATGAATCTATTTCAAGGACCTTATACCAAGTGAAATAAGCCAGATACAGAAAGACAAATACTGCATGATCTCACTTAAATGCAGAATGTAAAAAATTTGAACTCATAGAAGCAGAGAGTAGAATGGTGGTTACCAAGGAACACAGCCTGAGGAAAATGGGGAGATGTTTAAAGAATCCAGACTTCCAGTTATAAGATGTATAAACTTTAGGGATCTAATATACAGCATGATGACTATATTGTTTACTTGAAATTTGCTAATAGGGCAGATTTTAAGTGTCTTTACTGCCCTTCACACACAAGTGGTAACTATGTGTGCTGAAGGATTTATTATTTAATTTGATTGTGGTAATCATTACATAGAATATACATATACTCAGGCATACCTCGAATATATGCAAATTTTTATCAGTTATACCTCACCAAAGCTAGAATACAGAAAAATTGTGGAAAAAAATAGAATTTTGCCAAAGAGGAAAGTGGTGCGTGGAGAAAGATGTACAAAGGATACCAGAAAAGGAAGTGTAAAATGTTTAACAGAAAACATAGAGTGAGCAGGACTATCGGGCAGTATGTTAGGTGTTTTGGTAATTAATATTCTGGACTTTTTTCTCCTTTGAAGGACATAATGATTTCAAATAGAAGGTCATCATGACCATTGTGAAACCATCCCTGACTTGCCCAGGCAGAGTTAGGGAGGCCTTTTCCTGTGCCCCTACTGAATGTTCTACAAACCTTTCCTCAGCAACTGTCTTACAGAGTTGTCTTTGTAATCAGAAAGCAGAAGAGCACATGGGAATTGAAGTCAGACAGACAAGGGTTCAAATGCCCATTCCAGCATTTAGTAGCCTTTGTTTCCTTGGGAAAACAACTTAATCTGCAGAATTTACTCATTGCCACAGTGTAAAGTCAGAGTGAAGATTAAATGACATAATGCAGAGTGCTTGACACTTAGTAGGCCTTCAGTAAACAGGAGCTATTCTGGTTTGCAGTCTCATCTCCCTAGCTGACTGAATTTGTTGGGGCAAGTACAGTCTCATTGCATGTTGGTAGTCTACCTCTATTAAGTATCTGTCACAAAGGATATGCACAGTAGTACTTGTGGAATGACTCCATAAATCAGATTCAGAGTTTAGAAAGGTCAGTTATGGCTTTGGATAATAGATTTTTGGGACATAAGTTTAGAAGTTATTTTATCCAGAAAAAAAGAAAAAGAAAAAGAAAAAAGAATCACACTTTATTTTAAGCAAAAAGACTAGTTTGCTGATTTTATGTGTCAACTTGGCTAAGCTACAATGCCCAGATATTTGGTCAAACACTGGTCTAGATGTTGCTGTGAAGATATATTTTAGATGTGATTAACATTTAAATCAATAGATATTGAATAAAGCAGATTACCCTTCATAATGTGGGTGGACCTCATCCCATCAGTTGAAGGTGTTAAGTGAAGAAGACTGAGGTCCCCCAAGGAAGCAGTCAATCTGCCCCTAGACCACCTTCAGACTTGAGCTGCAACATCAAGTCTTCTTTGGGTCTCCAGCCCATCTCCCTGTCCTGCGTATTGTAGACATGCTAGCCCACACAATCACATGAGCCAATTCCTTAAAATAAATCTTTCTCTCTGTGTATATACACATCATTTATGTACATCCTATTGGTTCTGTTCCTCTGAAGAACTCTGGCTAATGCAGATAGTACCCCATTTACAGATGAAGAAACAGAAGCTTCAGGTCCCTTGGCTAACAGAGTAGAGCTTACATCTCAAAATTGTTTCTTTCTGATTTCAAATCTAGGATATATCACTGATTCTTACATGATCCTCCCTTCCCTCCTCCACTTAGTTTTGGAAGAAAAAAAAGAAGGGAGACGTTAATAAAGGAACATTATGAAGGGAAGAGACCGGCAGGACTAATTCTCTGAACCAGACTGAAGACAGACCAAAATCAGCAAGCAGTGCTGAAGGCAGCTTCTAGTTGCCCTTGCTGCTCATCTGTGCAAGATGCTCCCACCAGTGCTGATGTCATTTGGCTCTGTGTCCCCACCCAAATATAATCTCAAATTGTAATCCTCATGTGTTGGGGGAGGGGCCTGTTGGGAGGTGATTGAATCATGGGGGTGGACTTCCCTCTTGCTGTTCTTGTGGCAGTGAGTGAGTTCTCATGAGATCTGGTTGTTTGAAAGTGTGTTTCACTTCTCCCTTCGTCCTCTGTCTCCTGCTCCACCATGGTAAGACATGCTTGCTTCCCCTTTGCCTTCCACCATGATTGAAAGTTTCCTGCAGCCTCCCAGTCATGCTTTCTGTTAAGCCTGCAAAACTGTGAGTCAAGTAAACCTTTTTTCTTCGTAAATTATCCAGTCTCAGGTAGTTCTTTACAGCAGTGTGAACACAGATTGATACAAGCACCATGACAGTTTGCAAATGCCATGGCAATGCCCAGAAATTACTATACATTTCCATTGCAACCAGAAGTTACCATACATTTTCCACCAATTTCTGAATATCCTGCCCCTTTATTTGCATGTCATCAAATGTATGTTTAAATAAAATTGCCAACCACCCATAGGCTGCTACTCTCAGCACACTGCCTATGGGTTTGCTCTGCTCTGCAAGGAGGAGTCACAGAGCTGTAACACTGCCACTTCAATAAAGCTGCTTTTTTCCACCACCTGCTCACTGTGGAATTATTTCCTAAACAAAGCCAAGAACTTGCCCTGCTGTACTAGTAGAGAAGGAGAAAGAATTGTGAGGTAAAAGAAGGAGGGTAGGGAGTACAGACAGCCTTAAAATGAGCAACCTCAGTTTCCTAAAGATGTCAAAGTCATCTGCCTGGCCTTCTAGGGTGACTAAAATTTGTCATGTCCGTTACATACTACATGGAGATCCATAGGTCCTCTTTAATCCTATGGACATAGCTCCTTCCAGCCCACATTCCAGGTTTTCCTTATCGTGTCACCTTGCTTATTTTCTTTATAGTGTTTATAATGACTTCTTAAGATCTTACTTAATAACTTGGCTTATTTGCTTTATTGTCTTTCTACCCATCTGTAATGTACAGTCCATGAAGGCAGGCATCTTTCTATTTTCTCCCACTGCTTATCTTCAGCATCTAGCACATTGCAGAAGCTGAATGAATGAATGCTATGTTCATCTTTATTTTCCTGTCTTCAACTTCTGTTTTCTTCCTTCCCTTCCTAATCTTACTCATTCTTCAAAACCCACCCTAAACTCCCATATCGCTCAAAGCCTTCCTTGATTATGCTCTGTCCCAGCCACACCTGCCTTCTTTTGGTGCCTGCAGCATACATTGCTCTTCATGATTCTGAGCTTTTATTGACACTCTTGCCTTTGCCTAAAATGCTCTCCAACTTCTGTCCTTCCTATGTTAAGCTGAATCAACTTGAACATACCTTCTTTTCCAGGAAGGCTTTCCTGATTTTTAATATTAATTAATTGCCCTAGTTACACACTGTCGTAAATATCGTCCCATTCCTTTCTCTGTCTCCCTGATCATTTCCCCTTTGCAATAGCTGATACACTTAAGATAACTTTCTATTGCTCATCACTTTAAAATAACTTGTTCATTGTATAATGCACCCACTGTATTTTAAATTCCATAAAGTAGTTCTGTTTTGTTTCTTTTGCTGCTATATCGACAATAACAATTCTCAGTGCCTGAAATAAAGATGATGTAAAGAAATATCTATTGGTTGAATAACTGGAGAATGTTCACTGATGTGACCATTACAGAACTCTAAGAACTATGTGCTTGGTGATTCAATGTAAAAATCGCTATCAATTATTCAGTGGTTGCTCTGTACCAGGCACTTTGTACATGTTTTTTGTGTCCTAATTTATTTCATAATCACAAATATTGTTGCCATCCTTATCTCACAAAGGAGGAAACTGAGCAAAGAGTTGTGGAGCTTATACAACATTGCCATTGCAAATGGCAGGGCTAGGATTCTGGCCCAAGCATCCATTCCAGAACGTAACTGTAACCCCATGTACTAGTGCTTATAATTTTGTCGAGGGGAAGGCAAGAGATGAAGGAAATAATTTACAGTCTGAAGACTCATTATCTTAGTTCATATATTCACTCAACAAATATTTGTTAACTGCCCAGTTCTGGTTAGGTACTCGAGATACAGTGGTAAAACAATCTGATATGGTTCTTACCTGCACCGGTATACTTCATTAGCACTTGCTTGGTTCTCAAGTTTGGCTCACATTAGAATCACCTGGGGAGCTCTAAGTGACTTTATTTAATTAGCTGGCCTGGAGCCTGAGCCCCTGTGTTTTATAAACTTTGTGATGGAATCTAATGTGCAGCCAATGCTGAGAACAACCCCTTTAGTACTTTGTGCCAAACCAATCCAATATCACAATCATCTGGGCAAGTTTTTAAAATCCAGAGTCTTGTCCTGCCCCTACCTCCTCCTACTTTACTGACCAAACGACTGGAGAGCCTCTGAGAGTAGGACCCGGGAATCTGTATTTTAAAAGCTCCCTTTGTGATTCTGGTGCAGCTGGCCAGCAGACCCACATTTCAGGATTATTAGAATAGTTGCCAACAATAAGACAAAGGTTTGTAGAGGAAAGAGCTTACAGAGAGCTATGATGCTCTGGGCTGTATTTATAAACCACATCACTTGAACCAGTCTTGAAGGGAAGGTAGGATTTAGGTGTGTGGAAAGAGATAGAAGCTTTCACTCATGGTAAGTATCATACATATAACTATTGTATGGTGTTTTATTTTAGACATGTTTGTCTTATAGCCTTTCTACTCAAAATGTCATCTGAGGACCAGTAGCATCTGCTTTGAATTCTATCCCAGAAGCTGCATTTTTAACAAGCTATTGAGGTGATTTATATGTATATTAAAATTGGTGACTCATGGTTCTCTATGTGTATCCCACTCACACAATAAACTGTATGGTCCTTGAGGGCTGGAACATGACTTATTAGAAGATTTATAGAAATAATACCCTGGGAAGGACACTATTGTGATACCCATTTTTCAGGAATGGAAACAGGTTTATGGAATTCAAATGATACTTGTCGCTTCAAATCTGGTGCTCTTTCTACTATGAGATATGGATTTTTTTTATTCTTCGCTATTCTCCCTAACATCCAACATTTTGATAAACATAAGATTTCAGGTTCAGAAAATTCCTGAAAATCATAGATTCTTGAAATAAGTTGGAAGTCATATTAGAAGTAATATTGCCATACTCTGTCACTTAAAGTTGAAGACATTCTGGACTAGAAGTTTAAGGACCCTGTTTGAGGTCACAGAACTGTTTTCTGAATAATGTAATGAAGCTAGTGTTCAGATCTCCTGACCTGCACCTTGATGTCTACTGTCTCATCATTTTTACTCCTGCTAGTGCTTTGTATTCCCTGTTACAAAGGTAGTTTCTTAGAATAGCCTCATTTTCAAACCCATTCTGAGACAGAGCCAAATAAGCACTTTGGGTGGAAAATTATCTTCAAATGAACTGTGCTTAGAGTCACTGTATGGTTTCTAGTTATTCCACAAATGCAAGAAGACAGGGGACTCCCTTATATAGGTATGTCCTATTCTGAGCTTCCTGCTTAGACCATCTGTTTGATGAACCCAGCCACCTGGATTCTTTCTGGCCTTTTCACTTTTCATCAGAATGTCTTCCAGTCCTAAACATGTGGCAAGTCTTTGGCCTCTTGCTAGCATGTAGAAAATTGTGGTAGTGAGTATTTTTTTGGAAAACAGTGCTGTCATTTTTGTTCACCTTTGAATCTGAGCTGTCAACATCACATATGCATCAAAGAGGGTAAATTGCCTGTTGTACCAAAGGCTGCTCCAGCTGGCTGTGCAAAGTCAAATGTCAGACCCAGTCTTCAAAAATGTTAAAGGTGTTGTCCTTCAAATCAGAGCCCGATTCTCAGCTTATAAGAACTCTTTCATGCCAAATTTTGTTTCTCCAACTTCCTTGCTTTTCTTTAATGCATTTTGAAAGCATGCAGTCAACTTGAAAGGGCTAAGTGCTCAAATTCAAGATAGAAATGAGAGCTATTGCTCTCTTGTTTGCGTTGCCCTTGTGAAATTTCCTATACAAGTGTCTTATTTGCTTTGGTGTTCCACCACAGCCAGCGAAACTCTTCCTGGGTTTACAATGAGTAGTTTGACTCCCCACTGCTTCCCTTTAACCAAAGGTGGAAGCAATTAATATTAATCTAATTGGATAAAATGTTTAAAAAGGGGAGAATATCTTTGTGAGTAAGCAAGGAACAAGGTCATTACCACTGTACCCAGTCTTGATTGATCTGCTAACAGTGCCATTCAACTCCTTGATGCCTTTGGTATTAGTCTTTTCAGAATAAAATTCCATTTATTCAAAGAAGTCTTCTCTAGTTCTCCTGTTCTGCTGTATAGAACAGGGAGAGAAGTAGATACTTGCATATATTACTGGATACCTAAAAATAGTGAAAATTAACAAGGATGTTGAAACCCTAAAGATTAGGTCCACCATTTTGGTGGGTTTGCTGCTCAAGGAAAGGAAGGAAAATTTCTCTTAGCTGGTAAGTCCATAGAATAGCAGTCTTCACAAACAAAAAAGATGGAGTAGGAGAAAAAAGAGGGAGAAAAGGAAAAAAAGAAGCAAAGCAGTGGGCAGAAGTGGGATAATGGTGTTTGGTCTCAGTGTTCTAACTTAGAAGAATCCTCTGGAGCTTACTTGGCACATGTCAGTCTGACTTGACATTCATTCCAAAGGCTTGGTTATCTAGTTTCCCAGTCTTCAGGAGATTTCAAGGAACAAATTAGATAGGACAAAAGAGGCTGTTAGAGGCAGGAACACTGACAGTAACCAGAAAGGACACTGCCTACTCTACAGGCAGAAAGTAGAAATCTGTGGCTTGCAGGCTGAAGAATTGAAAAAGCAGAAAAGTTGAAAGTCAGCCAGCATTAAAAGAAAATACAATAACTAAGGTTCCCAATAATAATCCATAGTCTTCTATAAATATCGAATTATTTCCAGTATACTTGAAGACAGAGAAAAATGTAATATTTTAAGAAATGTTTAAAAATGAAGTATTTTGATGCTTAATGGAAGCTTCTTTATTGATTTGGAGAAGTCACCATTATTTTTTCTTACTGACATTTTATTTCCATCTTTAGCACATATTTTTTGAGCTCATAATCCATGCCAGGTAGTAGGTAAATGAATATGTAGAGAGACATTGTAATTCAAATGAGCAATGGTAGTAGTTTGTACAAGACCATGGGTAAGACTGAAAGAACTGGATAGATTCTAAGAATATCATACAAGAAAAGTGTGTGGTTGATTTTATATGAGGAATAAGGGTGAGAGAGAGGGCCTAAGGATGACTCCTAGGTTTGCAGGCCTCCCCAAGGAAGAACTCTTAGAAGCCTACGTTTGCAGATTTGAGCCTCTTGAGTTTGAGAGGTCTTCGACACACCCTTCTCAGCCATCAGGTCTCAGATTATTTGTCACCAGTTTGCCTTCTTTTCGTTTTTAGACTTTGAGTATCAGAATTTATTTAAATTTATATATTTATTTATTTTTATTATTTAAAAAATAATTTCAGCTTTTAGATTCAGAGGGCAGTCACCACTTCTTAAATTCTTTCTCTAAGTGCTCACCATCCTTGTTCCAGCCCAAATGTTGCAGATCTCCTATACCCTTATTTCAGTTTTTTACATAATATGAAGACAGGGTAAACTTTTTAAATGTTTTCTCTTTTTTTTTGCTGCACAAAGTGGAGGATTAACAAGTATGCCACGAATGCATAATGAGGAGCAAATAACTGCTGTTGAACTCTTCTAGTGATGTTTCGGAGATGAGGTTCTGATAACCCCTCTCAGGATGAAATTGAGATTTGAACATTGAGCCTGTCAAATCAACTCTAACAGTCTTGATCAAATTCACAAGCAGGGCCGCGTCAGCCAGGGTCCAAACAGGAGAGGAACACATTTAAATAAGGGCTTAAATAGGAACTATTTACAAAGATGTGGGAGAATGTAGGAAAGCACAAAGGACAGTGCAGTGAAGCAGGAAGCAGCAGTAGAGCTGTTCCTCTTTTGGCTCTGAAGGGTGGTGGAGAGTGTAGCAGAGATGCTCACTTGAGGGGAATCCTGATCTTTGTTGGTGGGAATAACTGGCCTGAGGTGACCTTATAGCAAGGGAATCAGTTGTCCTGACCTCACTCTTTCTTCTTCTTCTGCTTTCCTATTGGAGCTCCCACTTAGTTGAATCCAACAGGAAGCCAGAGGGACTTCTTGCTGTAATCCCTACACATTGGCCTGCAGGATGGAGAAGGCTGGAGAGTGACATAGAGGGCAAATTGAGGATGTCAAATGCAGCACAAAAGGTGGCATTTAGGCTTGACATGAGGACTGAATATAACGTTGCCCAGTGGGTCCAGACAAGATATTGCATTTAATAAGCTTATATTAATAGACAATACTAGGGAGTTTTGATGAATAATTCCTAGATGAGAGACAAGAAATTGTTAGGGATAGAGCACTAGAGTAAGAAAATATTTTTTTTTGGTGACTCGGTGGCTGTGGACTGAAATCTGTTTTCATAGCAAATGGAAATACTATTTTCTTCCTTCATAGAAAATATGCACAAAAATCTCTTCTAAGTTGTAAAGCATTATTTACAATTCATTATGGTAAAATAGAAAAGATGCTAAAAGTGCTAGTTACTAGCTGATCATGTAAGTTAATTTTCTTTGCCTCAGTTTACTTATCAGCAAAATAAGGATGGTAATACATACATCATGAAGCTTTTAAAGATGATTAAGTGAGATAATACATATAACACAAACTCTCTAACATATAATACCCGATAGAAAATTATTATTATTTTGTGCCCATTTCTCTTTTTCACCCCTTCTGTCACTAAGTTCCCTGAATGTAACTGTAATATACACATCTCTGTATTTCCTCTAGCAATAGTTAAGGTTAGAGCACTAGAGTAAGTAAATACTTTTTTGGCGACTCAGTGTCTATGGACCACAATCTCTTTTCATAGCAAATGAGAATACTATTTTCTTGCTTCATAGGGCTGGGGAAAGGATCAAAGTTCAAGTTCCCCGAATGTAACTATAATGTACACATCTCTATATTTCCCCTATTATAAGGCTCCCTTCACCCTCCTCAGTAATAAATATAAAGAATATTTTAATGCAATATTTCAAAGAATGAAGTCAACACACTATGACCCAGTGGCTGGCTCCTGCATTTGTAAATAAGATTCTCTGGAAGCAGGGCCAGGATTAGGATGAGGCAAGCGAGCCAGGGTTGTAAAGTACAGGGCAGACTTCGCCTTTATTTAAAATTTTGATATTTTGTCCTTCATATAGTTGTCTGCATTAATGTTAATAATTTTTAAAGTATTATATTAAAGTATTATTTATCTTGATTAATGAGTTTTTGGTGCCCCTTAAATTTTGTACCCATGGTGAGTGCCTCCCATGCTTCACCCTGGTTCTGGTCCAGAGCAGAACAGAACTGTCCATTATTGAATGTCTTTTATATGCCAAGAATTTAACATACACTATCTTATTTAGTCCTCTCTGTATCCCCGTGAGATACCTAGTGTTATCTTCATTCTCTACATGAGAAAACAAGCCAGGAGACTTCTCATGTGAGTCACTTGCCAAAGGCTTCACAGCTAAAATGGCATGTCTGTCTCCAAAGTTCATTCTG